AGAAAAAAAAATAATTCCTATGAAACTGATTGGTTTTATGCTTTTTTTTTCCCCAAAAGCAATATTCAGCCAAAGGATGAATTCCAGTTAACTGAAGGTTCCAGTTAACAAAGTTAATGCTCTAAAATTGGAATACACTCAAAATTAGTCACATTTTATTATTTCTTCAGCAGTTATAGGTCTCCTTTGAGAAATAAATATTATTTATTTTCAGTATTAAAAATGTTAGACTATGGGTAATATTGAAGTTTATATTCAAATTACTTTTATCCACATCGTTACTTCTGAAAAACAAGGTAACAAATTAAGAAATCATCTTCCTGGCCTGACAAGGAAGGTGGCTCACGCCTGTAATTCCAGCACTTTGGGAGACCAAGACGGGCAGATCATGAGGTCAGGAGTTCGAGACCAGCCTGACCAACATGGTAAAACCCCATCTCAACTAAAAATACAAAAATTAGCTGGGCATGGTAGCGAGCACCTGTAATCCCAGCTACTCAAAAGGCTGAGGCAGGACAATCACTTGAACACAGGTGGCGGAGGTTGCAGAGAGCCAAGATTGCACGCACTGCACTCCAGCCCGGGTAACAGAGCAAGACTCCGTCTCAAAAAACAAACAAACAAAAAAAAAAAAACCTATCTTCCCAAAAAAGCTGAAAATTTTTAAGGGACTGACTGGGGGTAGCCACAGAGCTACAGCCTTGAAAGGCCGAGACAGAGTTTCAGTTTAAATTTCACATACCATGAAATTACATACCAATGCCACAAACAACAGAATGAATCCTTAACCTTTTTTTTTTTTTTTTTTTTTTTGCATTTTTGTAGTGACAATGTTTCACCATGTTGCCCAGTCTAGTTTCAAACTCCTGGGTTCAAGCAATCTGCCTGCCTAGTCCTCCCAAAGTACTGGGATTACAGGTGTGAGCAACCAAGCCTGGCTCCAAGATCCTTGAAATTTACCCACTAATGAATTCCCATATCCACACTGCAGAATTTAAATTTGGGCCAGGTGCACTGGCTCACACCTGTAATCTCAGCACCGTGGGAGGCCAAGGTGGGCGGATCACTTGAGGTCAGGAGTTCAAGACCAGCCTGGCCAACGTGATGAAACCCCATCTTTACTAAAAATACAAAAATGGGCCCAGTATGATGACATATGTCTGCAGTCCCAGCTACTCGGGAAGCTGAGGCAGGAGAATCGCTTGAACCCAGGAGGCAAAGGTTACAGTGAGCCAAGATCCCACCACTGCACTCCCACTCCAGCCTGGGTGACAGAGTGAGACACTGTCTCAAAAAAAAAAAAAAAAAAAAAAAGAATTTGTGTTACATTCTGTAATTTTTTTCAGCATATAGCATTTATCTGTGCAGTGAAAATCGGGATGTAAAGCTGTCTAAACTGAAATGTTATCCATCCATCCATCCATTCATTCATCCAATCACACAATACTGGCATGCCTCCGGTGTGCTGGTGGTGATGGAAAACATATGCAAAGCAGACACCCTTCCATCTTGGGGCATATGTTCCACTGAGGGGAAACAGACGATAAACAATTCAATAAGTAAACAACAAGGCATGTTAGGAATGGGCTAAGTGCTATGGAAAAAAGAAAAACAAGTGTTGCAGGGAAACAGGATTTAGGGATTCAGGAAGAGAAACGATTTCAAACAGAATGGTGAAGAGAGGCCCCACTGTATGCAAATGAGAAAATAACAGTGAATTTTATTTATGCAGCTTCAAAACGCTTTACATACTTCCATTTTTTAAATATTCATAGAAGCTTTCTATTTTCTCTGCTTCACTGTTCTATTTCCTGATCTCCGTGATTGGAGAGAAGGCAGGTAGCTGGCAGACATGACCCTACAGGGCATGCCAAAGATATTTCTTCTAATATTTTGGTTTACTCCTTTTTTTTTTTTTTTTTTTTTTTTTTTTCTTTTTTTAAGACAAAGTCTTGCTCTGTCACCCAGGCTGGAGTACAGTGGCACAATCTCGACTCACTGCAACCTCCACCTCCCAGGTTCAAGAAATTCTCCTGCCTCAGCCTCCCAAGCAGCTGAGATTCCAGGAGCCCGCCAGCATGCCCGGCTAATTTTTGTATTTTTAGTAGAGGCAGGGTTTCACCATGTTGGCCAGGTGGTCTTGAACTCATAACCTCTGGTGATCCACCCTCCTCAGCCTCCCAAAGTGCTGGGATTACAGGCGCGAGCCACTGCATCCGGCTCTACTCAATGTTGAGAACCATAGCTATAATTAAAGTGAAATTTGGGGATCTCTATAAAATACTCAAGATGCAATTTATATTAGAAAATCTATCATTTTCTCCAGCAGTCTGTACGTAATCTAATATTAACATTATTAAAGGTAGCCAGAGTATGAACAGGAGTTCATGTCGTACTGCCTTACAGCAGTAAAAAACTTTGGCCAGGCGCGGTGGCTCAAGCCTGTAATCCCAACACTGTGGGAGGCTGAGGCGGGTGGATCACGAGGTCAAGAGATCGAGACCATCCTGGTCAACATGGTGAAACCCCGTCTCTACTAAAAATACAAAATATTAGCTGGGCATGGTGGCGCGTGCCTGTAATCCCAGCTACTCAGGAGGCTGGGGCAGGAGAATTGCCTGAACCCGGGAGGCGGAGGTTGCGGTGAGCCGAGATCGCGCCATTGCACTCCAGCCTGGGTAACAAGAGCGAAACTCCGTCTCAAAAAAAAAAAAAAAAAGAAAAAAAAAAAACTTCAGATATTAGTTGAAATGATCATCTCTTAAAATAAGCCCACGGTGTCTCACGCCTATAATCCCAGCACTTTGGGAGGCCGAGGCGGGTGGATCACAAGGTCAAGAGATAGGGACATCCTGGTCAACATGGTGAAACCCCATCTCTACTAAAAATACAAAACATTAGCTGGGCATGGTGGCGGGTGCCTGTAATCCCAGCTACTCAGGAGGCTGAGGCAGGAGAACTGCCTGACCCCAGGAGGCGGAGTTTGCGGTGAGCCGAGATCACGCCATTGCACTCCAGCCTGGGTAACGAGAGCGAGACTCTGTCTCAAAAAAAAAAAAAAAAAAAAAAGCCGAAAGAAAGTGTCTCCACAAACTGTAAATTTACATAGGAAATTAACTTATATTTCAAAATCAAATTGTTTTTAGAAGCATTTCGTATAATTCCAAGACATTTTCTAACTTGAAACCTGAAAAAAAAATGCAACCAAATAACTGATGTGTAAGATGTCTTTATCCTGAAGACAAGAATCTTGAAGTACTGTAAACTGCACCAAGAAAAACTTAGAGAAAGCAAATTACAAATGACTCAAGTAGTCAACACATCTTTCACACAAGATTTCTGTCGGTCTCGGGTAATGAAGACATGCAAAGCTGAAATGTATGCTGTTTAAGTAACCAAAGTAATTAAATAATGACTAACACATGTAGGTGCTATTTAAGAAAGCACCAATTTTAACAAGAAATGTTATCACTGACTAAATATACTTAAACTGTTCCCAAAATACCCAATCCAAGCACATATTTTTGAAATGTGTGGGTTTTCCCCAAGAGAAGCAATACTTTGACATTTCTCTTGGATATATTAGACTTTCAGACCTCCAACCCACATCTGGAAAGAACGTTTCAAACTTAACTTGATGTTACTTTATAAACTCAAATGCCCAGCAATGAGATACTTAGTAACTGAGATCTGAACATGACAGAGTCAACAGAATGTTCGAAATGAAATAATAGAAGTATTCAAAGTTTATCATCAGCTTCGATATGAAGAAAGAAGCATGGAACAAAAGATGCATTTGCAGCCTCTGCCCTGTAATTCGTGAACACCATACTTCTCGCCTTATGTCACGCCAGGGAAGCGAAAATAACAATTTTTTAAAAGCTTGCTAAATTCAAATATGACCATTTCAAATAGATTTCTATCGATCCTCCCCAAAATTTCTTTTCACTAAAAAAAAAAATCAGAACAACACATTTAAGCCTACAGTAGATTCTATAGACTACACCTAGATTACTTTGCTCTAACGCCAAGGAAAATGTTTACGATTTCAAGATCCACTCAGAAGCAAATACTGTATCTGCAATGCGTAAGCTTTTCGTTGGCAAGACCAGTCAATATCAGAGAGCATGCAACGTTTAAAAGGTTAAGTGGATGAAGGTTAAACGCTAATAATAAATTACCCAAGAAATATTACTTTCCACCGAGCCATAAAATTTCGGTCCTACAATCCTAAAGAACCAGAGGGGTTTCTCGTTTCCGTAGAGGACATCTAACCCTCCATAGTCTAAATGACCGTCAGAAAAACTGCACCAAGGCACCAGGGGTAGCAGACGGAGATTTCTAACACTAGGTGAGCCCGCGGTCACAAATCTCATCACGATTTCACCTTTGGGTGAAAAGGAGGGAGGGAAGCAAGAAGTTTCAGCCTCGGCTCCACTGGAAACAGACAAGGTCTAAAGGACCCTGGGAGCAGGCGGAAAGGGGCGAAGTCGTGGTGTCCGTGGTGCAGCAGCAGAGAATCGGGATCTTGGAAACGGGATGCGGAGGAGTGGGCTCTTATGTAAGCACACACCAAAACTGTGCGTGCACCCCCCGCCTGATGCACATCTGAGCACAGCGCACACGTACACACGGCATCTCACCAGGGGTGCAGCCCCAGCTGCGGGCGCCGCAGAGCAGGGCGGACTGACCCTTCGGCCCGTCTGCACGTCCCTTCAAATCACTGCAGCCACCACCATGGGCTGCAGTGGGGGCTGCCCAGGCCCAGGTGCCCCGCCCGGGACCGAGCCTGGCTTCGCCGGGGCGCCCGCAGCGCGTGCCCACAATCTCCTGCGCCCTGGCCCCAGCCCCGCGCGCCCGACCCCCAACCTGAACCCCACGCCCCGACCCGGCTCCCTGTGGTCGGACCCGACTCCCCGCATCTCGGCTGGAATCCCAGTATCCGGCCCGACTCCCGCACCCGGACCCGAATCCAGCACCGGCCCAGCCCCGGGGCTTACCTCGCCCGGCCCAGACCCCGCCGCCGCACAGCAGCCCGGCCAGCAGCAGCCGGGCGGCCGGGGCCAGCGCGGGCGCGGGGCGGCGCAGCATCGCCGGCCCGGGGCGGGAGCGGCAGGGAGGCGCGCGGGACGCCTAGCGGGGCTCTCGGGGCTCTCAGGGCTCTCGGGGCCCAGGACCGGCTGCTCCGCGGCGCGGGGGGCTCCGGGGTCCGAGGAGGAGCCGCCGCCGCCGCCGTGACGCTGGGCCGCGCGCTCGGCCCGCGCCGCCCTCCCCGCCTCGGAGCAGCGCCTTGCTAGAGGCAGCGGCAGCAACTAAGATGGCGGCCGCGCTCTCTCTCGGGTCCGGCGAGGGTACCCGGCCGGGGGCGGGGTGGCGGCGGGAGGGGCGGGGATGGGGAGCGACGCGAGGCGCGCGCGCGATGGACTCCGGGAGCGCGCGGGCCGGGGAGGGGCGGGGGAGGAGAGACAGGAGAGAGCGCGCGCCGCGGACCCGAGAACTAGCGCGCGCCTGCGGGCCCGTCGGCCCCGCCTGGAGCGCGCAACCGCGGGGACGCGCCTGGGGTGGGTTCCGAGCGGCCGGGAGGGGCCCAGGGTGGGGCCCGGGGAACGGCAGCCCTTTCCCCGGCCGCCGCCCGAGAGCCTCAACTCCGCGTCCCCGCGCGCGCTCCCGGGCTCCTGAGGCCAGGCGAGCGGTACCCGGGGGCCGCGCCTCCTCCTCCACCCCGAGGGCTCATCCCACTCCCTCCCCCAGTAGCGCAGACACGGGCGGGCGAGTGCGGCCCAGGGCGCTAGTCACTTCGGGCAGGTCGCGTGGCCTCCCAGAACCTCGGGGTCCTCTTCTGCCCAGTAAGGGGATGAGAGGGGTCGCGAAAGGGGGTCCAGGAGACGAGGCCAGCGAAACGCGCCTGACAAACAGTCAAGGGCTGCGCAGCACGAGTCGCCCCGGCTCCCGCCCTGGGACCTGCCCCCGGGGAGTCTGTCCTGAATTCACTGAAGGAATCTATTTGTGACTTTCCAAAGGCGGCTGTTATGTGCGCTCTTTCTCAGTGACATACTGTGATGCTGGTTCTTAGAAATGCGGGGGTCCGTATGGATACAGGAGACAAAGAGGTGGCTCACTCCTGTAATCCCAGCCCTTTGGGAGGCTGAGGCAGGCGGATCACCAGAGGTCGGGAGTTCGAGACCAGCCTGACCAGCAAGGAGAAACCGCGTCTCTACTAATAAAACAAAAATTAGTCAGGCGTGGCGGTGCATGCCTGTAATCCCAGCTACTTGTGAGGCTGAGGCACGAGAATCACTTGAACCCGGGAGGCAGAGGTTGCAGTCAGCCGAGATGGCACCACTGCACTCCAGCCTGGGCAACAAGAGTGAAACTCAGTCTCAAAAAAAAAAGAGAGAGAGAGGACAAAGAAGCCCTCCCCATCTACCGTGGATCCCTACGGAGATCTGGGAGTCCTCCCATTTTCCCAGCATCCTGGGGTCCCCTCCTCCTCCTCTGCTGGACCCCTGGCACCCTCCACAGAGGAGGAAAGGCCTGGAACAGTTGTGGAAGGGCGTGTGTGCCGGCACTGTGCCCTATGAGACACTATTGGCTCCATTTTGCAGATGGGGAAACTAAGTCAGAAAGGTGAAATGACTTCTCTCGTTGGGACAACTATTGTGGAAAGAATCAGCCCTCAAGGACAGGACGTTCGCAGTAGGCGGAGACCAACGGCAAAAAGTTGAACACTAAAATGTTCATTTTTCGAGACTGCTGGAAGAGCTATCCATGAATGTCATTGCTCTAGGTGGGGGTGGTGGAGACTGGTTTGTGGGACGTGGAGGACTGATTTAGGAGAGTAGTGGGCAAAGAGCCCAAAAACGTAGATTGAGGCCAGATTGCGGGGATGGACTTGATCATAACAACAGGAAGACCTGGAAGGGCTGGAGACAGAGGTGTGATGTAACCTGCGGAAGGCTTCAAAAGCAATCTAGAATCCACCTCCCTGCCCTGCACGGATCCTGCACCAAAACCTAAAAATTCCATCTTGCTAATGTCTTTCTTTCCTTCACCTGCTTCCCCTCCCCTGGGTTGAGGAAGACCCAACTCCCCTTGGCTGGACCCTTCCCAAAGCACCTGCCTGGCACCTGCAGGCTCCAGGCCACACCCACCACTACTTCCAGCCAAGGCTTTGAGTCATCCTCTTCCCTGGTGATGGGTGTCGCTTCTGCCCCTCCTGGAGTTAAAGACTCAGTGAGTGCCTCCCTGCTGCCACCTCATCAGGTCCAGACCTCTCTGCCCGGCTTCCCACCCTCCACCCAGCTGACCTCAGGGCATGCTGTCTACCACTGCCTCCTCTTATTCATTCCCTGCCCAGGGCCGACATCATGCTTCCTCCTCCACCCCAGCCTCAGGTCCTTATAAGGAGCCTCTGGACTGTCTCCTTCAGGAAGTCCTCCTGCCAGCCCTCCCTCCCCCGCCCCCAGTGGCTCTAACCAAACAGTTCAGCTTTCTAACCTGCTGCCTGTGCTGTGGACTGACTGACTAATCCATCCGTGTCCTTTTCTCCTCCCCACTGTATTCTAGTGGGAAGGACCCAGATGGTCTAGTCAGACAGGACTGGACTGCAGTGCTGGCCTCTGCGACTGCAAATAACCTTGGACAGGTTATGGAACTTTCAGAATCTCTTTCCTCACCTGGGAAATGGAACAAATATGCACTTCTTGAAGTTATGAGAATTAAATGAAACGATGCCACATAGGTTTGGAAATACCAGGCTCTTTGTGGCACATAAATGAAAGTGCCACATAGAGCCTGGTATTTCTAGATATATGTGTTTCTCTTTTTCCCCTCAAGAAGAAGCCTTCTGTGCTTCTAGTATACCAGTGAACACAGTAGGTACTCAGTAAATAGTGATGAACTCAATGAATTGCTGAGTTAGGTTTTATTATTATGGAGCTCACGTCTCAGAAGGTGCAAAAAAATGTACCTTGTAGATTTCCAGGGACTTTCGAGATGTGCACAACATAAAATGGAAAGGCATAATCTCAGAACTATCTTTTCAGTCCACAGGCTGATGATGCCAAGAGGGGAAATTTAATGTGTTCAGTTCTATTAAAAACACAAACAAAAGCTCTTCAGTGCCTGGAATCCTGATCCCTTTATCTTCTCGCCCTTACTGTCCCTTAAAGAAACAAAGAGATAGATCACAAAGGTCCAGCGTCAGGTGGGGCGGACAGACGGCTTGGTGAGCTCAGTGCAAACTGCACCTGCTGGGATTTCACCCACATGAGAGTGAGTCCAAATACAAGGCTCAGCTTGAAAGTCTCAGAAGCGGGGGAACCAGTAAACTGGGGTTCTGCTCTGCCTGACAATAGCCTCAGCCACATTGGCACATTTCAAAGGTTTCCCCCATTATGGATTAGTTAATCCTCCAAATGGCCCTAAGATGGGGATCGATTCAGGCTTATGCTATGGTTAGCTGAAAGAGAGGCCTTGCCTGAGCTGAGGCAGCCACTGACAAAGTGGCAGCATCAGGGTCCTGGAGCCTCGGGGAATGAGGCATCACCCAGGCCCGTCCTGAGCAGGGAACACAGATTTGGGGATAAGGAGGTGGCTTTGTTAGCTGGTGGAGGAAGATCTGTTCTTTTGAATGTATACTGAATCTATCTGAGACAGTAGATGAAGTGAACACAAGAAAATTTTCCAAGATGCTGCACCTTTTGAGATGACTGTTGCTGACACCATATCACGATAATAACATATCATCTGTGCCTCTAGCAAGCCTTTAGTACCTTCAGAAGGTACTTTGGACCGGGCCACAGTGGCTCATGCCTGTAATCCCAGCACTGTGGGAGGCTGAGGCGGGCAGACCACTTGAGGCCAGGAATTCGAGACCAGCCTGGCCAACATGTCACAACTCTGTCTCTACTAAAAATTCAAAAATTAGCCAGGTGTGGTGGTGGGCACCTGTAATCCCAGCAACTTGGGGCCCTGAGGCAGGAGAATCACTTGAACCTGGGAGGCGGAGGTTGCAGTGAACCGAGATGGCGCCACTGCACTGCAGCCTGGATGACAGAGCAAGACTCCAACTCAAAAAAAAAGGAAAAAAAAAAGATACTTTCATTGTTTCTATTTTACAGATGAGGAAAATATCAAATTTGCTCAAGAGTAGGTTGCTAGAAAGTTGGACCCCTGAGATTCAATTTCATGTCTATCTGAGCCCAAAATGGTGCCTTAGCCTCAGCGCAAAATTACTCCACAGATACCAAAATAACCCCTGCACAGGGTCCCACAGCTTGGCGCCAGCCGGCTCCCCAACAGTGAGAAGCTGGGCCTTCGAGCAAGCCCTGGCTTTGCCACCTTCGGCTGTGCAGTGCAGGGGAGGCTGATCTCACACCTCGAGTTCCTCACCAGGGACATGAGTTCCCAGGCCTGGGGTTGCTGTGAGGATGAAATGAGAGCGCAGGCAGGAAAACTCTTAGCCAGCGATGCAGGGATGCGGAGCCATTGTCAGGCAGACGTGTTATTACTGTTTTGCACAGTGTGGGCTTGGCAGGTGTTTGTGGACGGAGCCGAGGCAGGTAAGCAGTTATTACAGCCGCTTTCCTAATGACGTACCCAGGAACAAACCCACCTGAGGGCGGCAGCAGGAGAAGGTTATGAGAATTAGGAACTCCTGGAAGTTCTTTGCTGAAAGGACCACAGCCCCCAGAACCACCACCAGGGTCCCCCAGAACCCCGGAAAGTACAAGGTGTGGCCCCATCTCTGTGTCCTGGTGTCCCAGCCAGGTTATTTCATTGCTGTTAAAAGGGATAATTAACGAGAAGCAAAATGATGCCGTGCTTAGGAACAAGGACTCTGGTTGGACAGAATGGAGCAAACGCATTTCTGTCCACGTCCTTCCTTTTGGTAAAATTTCAATTGAATTTTGCTTCATAGTATATTAAATATTGGGTTGATTGTGGTGGCTCATGCCTGTAATCCCAGCACTTTGGGAGACCAAGGCAGGCAGATCACTTGAGGTCTGGAGTTTGAGACCAGCCTGGGCAACATGGCAAAACCCAGTCTCTACCAAAAATACCAAAAAAAAAAAAAAAAAAAAAAAGGCTGAGGCCATCGGATCACCTGAGGTCAGGAGTTTGAGACCAGCCTGGCCAACTTGGTAAAACCTCAAGTTTAGTCACTACTAAAAATACAAAAATTAGCCAGGCGTGGTAGCATGCACCCGGAGCCCCAGCTACTACTCAGGAGGCTGACTCGGGAGGCTGAGGCAGCAGAATCACTTGAACCCCAGGAGGCGGAGGTTGAAGTGAGCTGAGATTGCGCCACTGCACTCCAGCCTGGGTAGCAGAGTGAGACTCCATCTCAAAAAAAAAAAAAAAATAATAACCAGGCAGGTGTCTGTAATCCCAGCTACTTGGAAGACTGAGGCAGGAGAACCGCTTGAACCCTGGAGGTAGAGGTTGCAGTCATCAACTACACTCCAGCCTGGGTGACAGAGCGAGACTCTGTCTAAAAAACAAAAAAGAAATATTTTCGTGGTTCCAAAGTCATATCTAGAAAGCAGGGTGTTCAGAGAAGTCTAGATCTCTTACTGTTTCCTCCTTCCTTTATAGGTTACCATTTCTTTTTTCTTTTTTTTTTTTTTTAGGTGGGGGACAGAGTTTTGCTCTTGTTACCCACGCTGGAGTGCAATGGCGCGATCTCGGCTCACCGCAACCTCCGCCTCCTGGGTTCAGGCAATTCTCCTGCCTCAGCCTCCTGAGTAGCTGGGATTACAGGCACGCACCACCATGCCCAGCTAATTTTTTATATTTTTAGTAGAGACGGGGTTTCACCGTGTTGACCAGGATGGTCTCGATCTCTTGACCTCGTGATCCACCCGCCTCAGCCTCCCAAAGTGC